CTTATTTAACATAGCGACACCCTAAGGACAATAATTAAGGACATATCTAGCGAACTTAGAAAAATTCTAGGATCTATGATAGATCTCAGATTGATATAAAAAATTGAATTTTCAAACTTAGTGAAATCTTAAACCTCCTAGAATTTTTTAGGATCATTTAAACCTCTTAATTAATCCTAATTTAACCCTTAATTATGCTCTTGTAACTTCAAAAAATTCTAATAAATCTATTTTAACTCTGAAAATTATTCATAATATATCAAACTCTTTATATTTTAATCTTTAATCTTATAAAATTAAAACTCTCTTAATTGGATTTCAATTTGAACCTTAATTTAATTTTAACTAAAAATTACATTTTTATTTAATTAAATGATTAAAAATTATTAAAAATTCCAAATTTTATCCAAACACTTAGAAACACATTCTTAGGTCATTTATGCTCTTTCGGGGTGATTCCAAATAGTTTGGAGCTGATTTGGATCAAAACTCCTAAAGTACCCCTAATTAAATAATTTTGATAATTTATTAATTCCCCAACTTTAAAAATTCATAACTAATTCCAGAAAATTCTAAATTAAGCAAACTAAAAGGCATTAAATTTTAATTAAGATCTAGTATATATTAAAAATGTTAAGTTTCTAGAAATCAACCTAAATAAAAAAGTTAATTTTCTAGTCAATTATAGTTTATTAACTAGTGCCCGAAACTTCTAAAAATTATAACTTTATGTAGAAAACTCTAAATTTAGCTAACTGATAGTATAATTACTCCCCTTAAGGCCTAATATTTAGTTAAAATGTTGAAACCTCTAAACCTAGCCTATTTCCAATAGTGACCTTTTGGACCCCCTTTACTTAGCAAATAAGAGGACCCCGGATCTTCTAAAATCCATTAAGGTAACTTAAACTTCAAAGATCACTACCCTAAGAATTAAAATGGATCCACAAACTAAATCAAATAAAAGTGTAACCCAATCAATAAATGTTTAAATCTTAATCAAATTTCTCCTTTTGGCTTTCAACAAACTTGAACATAAAATTAATTTGAACTAACTACCCTATATATGACCTATCTAAAGCTACACAAGCCTACTACACACACATAGAATTATTTGCCAGGGCACCACTTTTAGCTCTAGGATTAGGACCATTGTTTTACCTTTTTTTGCTTTATGTGATGAGATACTCTTGCATGTGGCACGTGTGATTGATTGATTTGCTTTAGCTTGACTTGCTGTGATTGTTGTGATATTTATCTTATTGTTGTGCTTTCTATATTTTGCTTATGATGTGATTTGTGTGATAGATAACCCATGGGCTGGGGGCGCTCTTGCTACTAATTCAATATTATGCATGTGGCCATGCTCATGCAGCGCTAATAAAGAGGGGGCAAAAATCATTAAGCTTTAAAATTAATGTTGTTTTATGTAGATGTTCTAGAAATTACTAAGCCCCTTCTTAAATTTAAAGATCATGGCCAAGTGTGATTGACAATGTGTTTTCTTTCCATATATAACTGCTTGGAATATCATTGCTTGATATTTTTTTTAGGATAAAAATGTAGGAGAGTTTAGATTTTCTTTTTTAAAATGATATAATTTGTAATATAATATCGAGTTGTGAAAGTCTTAAAAAATAGGGCATTTCAAATATTAGGTATCAGAAGAGAAAAAGAAAGGCCCTTTATAAGGAATTTCTTAGTTATTTGGGTACCCTTCTAGAGGACGAACCATACGGAGCCCAAAGGAGATGATCCGAAGGGAGACGATCTAAAGAAAGATGATCTACATGAAGACAAAGACTTAAAGATGAAATACCTTTCTTTTAATACTTGTGTCATTCAATATGATTAGAATTCAGGTTGATGTCGGTGGGGCCTGGCCACCATTACTTTTCTAAAGAGTCTGAGTTGTATTTATACGACACTTATCATAGACTATGGACTTTTCTTTACTCTAGTGATTTATATTGATGTATTTACTTCATGTGTGCAGTAGAAATTGCATGATTTTCCTAAATTTCTTTCTTGCATGTGTATGACCTAATCTCGCTATACTCTTTAAAGACTAAAAATTTTTTTTCTACTCATAACTAAAATTTAATATTTCAGAATTAAATAATATAAAAACTTAACGATCTAGGGAAAAATTGAAATCGTCCGGGGTGGCATGCATATTAATACATTCTCTTCTCTCTTACTATAAGACAATTCCCCGCTTGCGGGTAGAGTCCAGATAATTTGGCCTATGAGGATGATGAGGTGGCGGACCTGTGGAAACTCATCTTTTCTAAAAATTTATTATTATAAGACTTTTTTTAAAAATATCAAGCATTCATGATTTAGAGATCTTTAACCAGCATGTATCGCATTAGAAATCAACTAAATTAAACTTTAATTATATTAGCTCTAAGAGCATTCACCCTACATAAGTCTAAGGCCAATTAGGAAACTCTTTAGACATCAGCCTTACTTTCAAAAATTGAACTACTTACCCATCTTTCATAAAGACCAGATAACATGGATTTTATACACTTAGGTGATTAATTGGCATTCCTTTTTAGCCAGGATATAAGCCAAGATGTATTAGCTAAGATGTGGGTGTTTAGTGTTGGGTGTAGAATACTAAATTCACTCTAGATTTAGTGTTCAAAGTTACTACATTGGATGTTTCATAGTATGTCTCATCAGTGGGTAAGTCTCCTTTTCTTCAGGGGTTAAAAATCCTACCTATCCAGGTCACATAGATGACGTCACCTCCATCTTTCTCCTCTGCATGCTTTGAGTGTATTATTTTCCTTCCTCTAGTCTCTTTTCGGTACCTTAGTCCCTCTGAATGTGGATTTGAGCCATGTATATTGACTAAGCCACTTTAAACCCATTCTTTCCCTTTAAGTAGGATTTCCTAGTCTCCCTCTTTGCCAATCCTCCCTTTTTGGAAAGAATAATGTCAGATCTTTAATCGAGAGTTTTCTTAGATTCCGGTCTGAGATGTAATTAACCACGGGGGCTTGCAACCCATGGGAAATGGAACTCCACCATTAAATAACCCCCACTCGAGCTGATGTATCAGGTGGGGGAAACCCATTATTTCAATCAGATCATGCATGTTATTACCCATCAGGGTGCGTTGGCGAGAGCCGCTATCCTTAATGGGTACTCGTATGTATGATCTATTCTGCCCTTCCATTGGGCTGTTTGTGAAGAGTGTGGAGGCCTGCGATCGTCTCGTCATTCAGAATGGTGCTATCATATACCCATTTACACTCTGTCCCTCACGTAGCAATACCCTTTTGGAGGTCCACACAACAATAAATTAAACTTTAGGAAGAGTTATTAAATTAAATTAAAATAATTATAATCTGCTATAATAACATGTTCAGTACAATCATAATAGCTATAATGAAATAAACAAAATTTTGGCACAACTAATTACAAAATTCACATATGCAACTGGATTGTATCACTATAAAGTGCAAAAATCTAACCATATCTATATTATCAGAAAATGTGATTTTACAGATTATTAAGATTGAAACTATTTTCATCAAGCAACTATGTGTGTATTTTTTTATTTGTAACTATGAATTCAAGGCACTGATCTTTACATTGATCTTAGTAACATGTCCACTAAAATTGGCAGCATATGCACATCCAATAAAAGTAGTATAATGCCTCTTTATATGAATGATTAACATTTATATATTCATATGTTGAGTGTATGTCTCTCATATTCAATACAAAAATGCAACTATCTTCAAATAGCTCAATGCCTAATAATTTTCTCCATTGACTCTATATGTAGGTCGAGTATACACCTCCATACATAGTAAGACGACCCAAATGAGTTAATCACAAAATAGAACCAGCGTACAAAATAATAAAATCAAACTTTGATTAGAATTTCATCGAACATATGATTGAAAAATGATCAATCTTAATAGAAGTTGTTTGAACAATTTCTAGCATTGATGAAAGCTTTTCAGAGTTTGATTGAACCATCTTGGAATCATGATCAAAACTTTTTCAACTGTTATTCGATCTTGGTTAAAATACAAACAAACTTCGAAATGGCTTCAAAGAATGTTATATTTTGATCAAATTCAAAATAAGTTTTTAGTAATATTGAAAGATAGTAATTTCAAATCTAAGTTCTTTATAAATTTAGGATGTCGGACATGGCAGTGGTCCAGTGTAGGTGGTTCATCGGTGGTGGGTTGACAGCTCAACTCTCTCGAATTTCAAGTCAATTTCAAGCTCAAGCTTCATCTCCAATCATTCCCCCATCCCCAATTATCATGTAGTAATGGAGGTCTATTTTAATTTTTGTAAGCAACATCCTTCATAAATATAGCTGAAATCTTGAACACTTCATGTATTGATCATCTTAATTATAAATCTTTCTTTTATATTGGGGTGCCTTAATAAAGATATTAAAATTAAGATATATTGATTTGTTGGATTCATCTTATCGAGATGATCGGTTTGACTCTAAGCATACAAGATTTAGTGATCATTTAATCACCCAATTATGTCCTAAAGTTTTAAATCATACTTCTAGTATTTGATTTGGACTCATTTGGAGTTAGATTAGATCACTTTTAGCTTTAATGGGTTTGTCGCATCCAAACGATCAATTCAATAATAAATTTGCTAATTAAAATTCATATTATCTCAAACGTAATTTTAAACCTTTTTTCCTTTGAATATATCTCAAATTTTATGCTTGATCAAATAAATTTTTAATTAAAAATAAATATTTAATTTTTAATTTTTTTAATTTATATAACATTTTTATAATATAATTAAACATAAAAAATTAAATATTTTTTTGGGACATTTAGGCCATTTAAGGGAAACTCACACATAGAAGGCATGCACAAATACTTGAACCTAAGACCTCTTAGTTGGAAGCATAAGCTTTCAACCCCAACAAGTCAAGATGAGGTTAAAAGGTTGTGCAGTGAAAGGCAAAAAACATGTTTGGAAGGTCAAAAGAACTGAACGGGGTTTTCATCTACTCATAGTCTCATACGCGGCATACGCACTGAAAGGGAGTGTTCACAAATTTTTCTCTGAATTACCTTAGAAACCTTACGAGCGACTCGCTGAAGCACAAGAGAAGGAGCATGGCTATAAGATTGTCTCCCTTTGTCATGCAAACGCGCAAGCCTCCGTTGATCTCTCTGCGCAAGAGAAATCTGTCATTTTCCCATTTTCTGGCAGCTCCAATCTCTAAATCCTTCGTGAAGTGAGCTCTTCATCCCATTTCATGCGATGTCTTTCTCAATTTCTATAATTTATTATTATTTCTTTCAATTTAGTTGTTTGTGTGTTTTTTTTTTTGGATGTTGGGATCTTGGTAAACTGGGACGTGCTGTTGGGAGATGATGCCCTAACTTTCATCGGTTGTTTTGTGAAATTGAAAGTTGAAGGGTTTGCTCATCAATATTTTTATGTAGTAACCTTCTCTTGTTTCCCCTGCGTTTTATCGTAGTTTAGTCATGAAATGAGACCTTGAAATCAGAAGCCCATGAATTGGATTCTGAAAGTGGTTGTCTGAAGGGAGAAAACTTGTAATATTCACTAGAGCGTAATTTTGTAATTGCATTAGTTTTCTCAAGTTAGGGAAGGTGATGCATTGTTTAATCTGGTGGCCTTGAAGATCATGGCCCGTCAAGTTTATGATCCGTACTAAGGAAATGGTTCATATAAATGTATACTTTGTGGTGGGGATGGGATAGTTGAGGAGATAAATAACTTGATTATAGAAATTAGTATTATTGATTTTATTATTGGTAATGAGCTGAATTGGTAATCAAATTATTGGGAAAATCAATTATGTGAGCATAAAATTTTTGGTAGTTGTCTTTATTATTAATATAATGATATGTCAAGGGAGGCCCACCTAGCCAGCCTAGACCAGCCCAGCCCGCAATGGCAGAATCAGGATTTTTTTAATATGGGGGCACAAATTATGAATACTAAAAAAACTCTCAACATTTTTCATTGGAGCTTAGGGCCGACATCTGTGGTTTAAAAAAATTATTTTTACTAGACTTGTTACATAAAAAGATAAATTATATAATTAAAAAATTTACAATCAAAATCACATGATATTCATATTTTTCTTGCATTACACCTATGGTTTCTCCTTTCGAGTTTTCGTATTTTAAAATCGTTGTACAACACTTTATTGTCAATATTATTAAAAATATATTTTTCGATATAAGTAATTAAGCAATCATTCATTCAAGAGTCTCCTATACGATTGCGCAGATGATTCTTCACAAATTTCATATCTGAGAATGCTCGCTCGACTGTTGTTGTAGCAATTGTTAATATCAGAGCAAGTTTTATAAGTAAGAATACCAAATAGTAAATATTATTTTTCTTAGTATCCACCATTTTTTATGCAAAATTTTCAATTCCTCTGAAATTGTTGAATACATCATTAAATCTCATATCAATGATATGAAATCTATATCTGAAAATTTGATGGATAAAATTTGGCCATAAGTACCCATCTTTGTTTGTCAAAAGCTAAGAATGAGTCACATGAATTCAAACATGCCACGTGCATAAATAACTCAATATTTATCTCATCAAATCTATTGTTAAGCTCTTGAAGTTGTATATCTATAATTGAATAAAATAACTCAATGACACGTATCTCTCCTTATCTATGACAAAATAATGATATATTATTAAATAAAAATGAGCAAACACATTTGAACAAAATAACAATATATTTTTAATGAATATATTGTAAGTCATGTGCAAATATTTTAACTTGTATCGAAAATTGCAATCATTCTCTCAATAATGTACAAAATTTAAACTTATTAAATTCTCCTCTCTTTGGAGATTACATAAACATAATCCTCTCATCGGAGAATGAGCAGGCAAATTATAAAATTAATTCATAGTAAAAATTAAAATGTGTTCAAGTGAACAAAATCAAACACAAACTATATAAAAAAATTCATTTAAAATCTCAAAGCTATTTAAACTCAAATAAATTTTTACTACTTGATTTAAAAAATAATAATTTAATTTACATAATTTAAAATAGAATCCTAAAAATAGAATTAAAACATTAAAAAAAATACAAAAATATAAACACAAACTAATTCTCAACTAAAACAATTATTAGTTAAATGATTTCTGGCTTTTTGCACTTACAGAAAGATAACAAAAAGTAGTTTTCAACTTTTTATTGGCTTTTTGCACATATAGCCATACAAGCATGGAGAGAACATTAATTTTCAACATGTTCTTTTGTCTTTTTGCTCGAACAAGTATCAATAGTTATGGAGGGAGAGAGAGACAGAGAGAGAGAGAGAGAAACTCGCTGATGAGAGAATTCATGAGTCATGACCTAGAGCCTGAGAGCACAGGGAACTACAGAAGCGTAATCGGAGACAAGTGTAGGAGGAAAATTTTCTGCATAAACTATTAGGTTTTTAATGGGTTTATATATAAAAAGTTATCTAAAAAAAATTCAGTCGGCCAGTTGGTGGTGCCCCAAGTGCCACCACCGTGCCTCTGCCAGTACCAGCCAGACCGGCCCAACCGTGGCCAAACCAACCCTTTGGCTGAGCAAAACTAGGGCCAGTAGAGGGGGAGATTTCGACCCCTATTGTGGGGTCCAGTAAAGTTATTATTCATTATGTAAGGAGGAGGAATCAAGAAAAAGTTGTTTAGGAAGGTTTTGTAATTATTTTTATGTTGCTTAGGATGATTTTAATTGTTTAGGAAGGTTTTCTAACTGTGTTTATGCTATTTAGGAAGGTTTTAATTATTTAGAAAGGTTTCCTAATTGTGTTTATGCTATTTAGAAATGTTTTAATTGTGTTTATTTTGTATGAGGGTTATTTAAGGGGGAGTTTTTCCAAGGTTTGGGGGAGATATGGGCTGAGTTTATTCTCTATGGTTTTTTTTTTGAGCTTCCTTGTAACTATTAGGGTTTATGGGAAAGCTGATTTACCTTTCAAATAGTAGATCAATTGTATCTTTTATTATTGTTGAAAAATGTAATAAAAAATCATCCCCATATTTGTATTCCTGCATTTTTCTTCTATCTATTTTGTTGTTTTTTACTTCTAAGATGCATCAAATTGGTATCTCGCTGAGGTTTTGTAGAGATGACAACAAAGAAGGTGGATGAGTTGGAAGGCAAAGAGGAGCAAATCAAATTCCTGATGGAGGAGAAGTTCTCAACCATCGAAGGAAGGTTTTCAATCATGAAAAATCTGATAGAGAGCTGATTTGGAGGATTGAAGGAGATAATGAGGAAGCTCATCGAGATGCAATCCAAAACTCCACTGGCGATTCCGTTTGCTAACCCTAAACAAGCTTTGATTAGGTTTTTCTTGGTCGAATCTAAGGGAAAGGAGATCGAATGAGAGGAGATCGATGAGAAGAGTTTTTTTCATCAAGAGCCACCTCCTAGGGATCTGATAAGCGGAAAATTATGGTTTCCAAATGGGCGGACAACAAGGAAGGAGTTTTTGGTGGATGTAATAGGGTGGCTAACCAATATGGGAGACATTTCGGGCAAAGGGAGTGGGCGATCAGAGATGGAGGGGGTCAAGTCGAGTCATGGGGATAGGGTCATGCAAGGAGGATGGAAGAGGTGGGATTTCCACCCTCGATGCACGGAGGGGACTTTTTGAGGGAGAGGAAGTCGAAGTGGAGATGCTTGGTTGAGGAAGTTTAGGTATCGATATTTGAAGAGGAGGATGCTCATGGGTGGGTGTATCGGGTAAAGAGGTATTTTACGATGAATTGTTTGACCGAGGAGGAGAAGCTTATGGCCGCAGGGCTATTTGTGGAGAAAGCCCTATATTGGCTCTAATGGAGGGAGGATAAATATCCAATCTACTCTTGGGATGAGTTTAAAGATTGTTTGTTGGAGCATTGCTGAGCCATTCGGGAAGGGTACCTGCACGGGCAATTTTTTGCCTTGACTTAATAGGCGAATGCCATGGAGTATAGGGAGAGATTTGAGTTTTTGTCCGGGTGGTCAAGGAGGAATTTGGAGGCAGTGTTGGAGGAAAATTTCATGAAGGGATTAAAGCCTGATATACATGTAGACCGATTATTGAGGCCGAAGGATTGAAGGAGATGATGGATCTAGCCCAGATAGCTGAGGATCAGAGACAGATGGAGAGGACTAATAAGTGTGGAGTAACAGGAGGCTCCTACTAGAGTGCCTTAACTTTCTTGGCACCAAGGACCTAGGCAGGTGCCATCTTAGCAGAAGGCACCGAGGGAGAAGAGTGGGGGAGTTCGCACCGGGGCCAACTTCAAGCACCTCACAGATTCAAAGGTGTTGGACTATAGAGTGAAGGGTTTATGCTTTTGATGTGGATAAGTATGTACCAGGCCATCAGTGTAAGGACCACTCAATCCAAGTCCTTACGGTTTATGAGTCCGACAACGAGGAGTTGGAGGAGGAAGCAGAAGCGGGAGGAAAGCACTTACAACTTGATGTGGTGGGGGTGTCCCTTAACTTAGTGGTGGAATTTACTCCAAATCACACCATGAGGGTGAGGAGATAGATTAGGACGCGGCTAGTGGAGGTTTTGGTGGATAGCGGGGCTACTCATGACTTCATCTCTATTCCGGTCACAGACTAGTTAGAACTGAAGTTTGTGGATACATGGAGCTTTGAAGTCATGATGGGGATAGGGAAGGTAAAGAGGAGTAGGTGGATTTGCAGGAGGTTGGTACTGACACTCTAGAGCATCTAGATAGTGGAGGATTTTCTTCACTTGGACTTTGAGAGGCACTGACGTGATCCTATGGATGAAGTGGTTACAAACGATCGAGGAGATGAAGATGAATTGCAAATTTTTTATTATGGAGATTCAGGTGGAGGGGAAGAGGGTAGTGCTTTGAGGAGATGCCAGCTTGTGCAGAACCATGGTTTCACTCAAAACCATGTTCAAGGCGATACAGGGAGTAGGGTTGGGCAACCTGGTGAAATTGCAAAGCCTTGAGGTCTATGTGGCTACTACTTTCAAATAATCGGTGATGTGCTTACATGGATTTTTAGAATCCATTGTGTCAGATAGAGATAAGGTGTTCATCAGTTATTTTTAGATGGAGTTGTTATGGTTATAGGGCACAGTCCTGAAGAGAAACACAACATACCATCCTCAGATGGAGGTGGTCAATAGAAGCGCGGAGACCTATTTGCAATGCTTTGTATCGAATGCACCGAAGAGTTGGGAAAAAATGGAT